TCCATCATAACTTCATATGAATTTAATAAGACGTCATCATTCTGTCGCTTAACAACTTACTAGACTGGACTGGAACCAACTCCAGCCTTTGTTTCTAAAGTGACCTTTACTCTATTACTGGGATGATCATGTATGACTATTACATCGTCTAATTTATTGCTTGTCACAGGTTTATACAGCTGTTCACTGATAAATTTATTCAATCTTTAGACATTTTTCACTTCCGTACGAAATTTAGAAATCAGTTCATCAGTTTCCGCAATATCTCCGAAACGTGAATAATTCAACAGCCGTGATCCTAATTTTTCAATAAATTTGAATCAATTTTTGTAGAACTGCTATTGCTGCTGCAAATGTATTTGCAATTTCTCCACAGTAATAGATATTTCTTTTCTTTATCTGTTGTAATTTTTCAAATTATCAGCCAGCAAATGTGAATTAACAATAATTTGATATGGCTTTCTTTTTTTTCCGAAATCCACGTCCTCAATTGTTGCAACAGTAAACATTCTAATTGACATATTGGTTTTTACTGTCATATCAGTGCTTTTCAAGTATGTCAAAAGTTCGAGATAGCAAACAGTCACCAAAGAATCACCAAACATCTATTGAAGTAACCCGTTTTCTACATAAAAGTGAAAAGATATACGTTTTGGGACACCACTCAAGTCACAAGTTTCTTTGTCGCCTTATTTTATTTTGTCACTCATGAAAAAAATGCGATTTGTAAATAACTGCATAAACTGATGTACGAACATGTCCTGTTATACCCATCAAAAAAAGAGAATGACAGCACTAAAATGCTTACAGAATACACCGAGAAATTTTGCTAGTAATCTATGAATTCACCATTTATCTATCTTTGAAAATCTCAGAAATGTTTGCCATTGTATTCCGATGCACATTATCCATTACTGTATAATAACCAATGGAATTCCCTAACCTCATGTCCTGAGCAAACTCTATGGAACTAAACGGTTAATCAGCTGAGTTAAATAATCTCTAAGTTGTACGTTATTTGTAGTTGGACCAACAAAAATAAGCCTACTTTTAGTTTTTATGCGATAATTAGGGTTATTTATAATGCTTCAAAAACAATCATACTTCACAGCATCTAAACTATCATTGTTCTTAATAGCAGTGAAGGATTTTACTATCGATTTACAGAAGTATTATATGTCTCCACTGTTTAAAGAGCAAATCATGATAGGCTTAAATTTCCTTAGCAATAACAAACAACCTACCAATAGATGAGCTTAAATTTTGACCGATTCTGTATCTTTATTATGTTGGCTTAACAACTTGAACGGCGAATAGAGTTTCTTTCCAGCTTATCTGACTTAGAAAGCGAAATCTCGTTTAACATCTGTTTCTCGATTTTGTTTACGGATAACAAATTGATCTGTCGTAATCCTAAACATATATATGTAAAACATAGAGTTATCGAAAATGACCTAGGTAACCTTTTAGCCCAATGAGTTCACTAACTGCCTGGCAAACAGAAAAAGAACAGACGACTAAATTTATTCTTAGGACTATACTTTTTAGTAGACATTGTTTAGACAATAAGATTCAGTTTTATAATTTTGTAGACATGCAAAACAAACGTATCAGTAGTGAAATCAGTATGAATCGAATTAATAAAAAGAATTAGGTAATCCTGTGTAGAAATAAAATCATGTATTTTATGAAGTAAATAATTTTACCATTTGTGAGTGAGAAGTTGATTTTAATATAGTTATCACAAATTGTTGGAGTGAATGAATACATTTCAGTAATTAAATGTTATCAAACCAAATAAAAATAAGATTTTGATCTATATAGATACCAACAAGATAACAGTACATTCATATGAATCGGATATTTAACCGATTCACCGACTGTTCGTTGTCGTCTAACCACTGTATCACACCCAATGTGTACGAAAGTTGGATATGATTTAAAGACTAGAATTTAGTAATAAACTTTGCTAGCTGAAGTAAATTGGCTGCTTTCGCCATTTCAAGATCAGTTACTCCTGATCTTTCAGAATGCTTCCAAGAACTAAAAGTGGATTTTCATAACTAATCACTCAAATGTAAGTTACGGAAGCCTTAAAATGATTTATTTCCTAATACATGCAAACAAATGTGGTTGTAGTTTTGTCTTAATGAAGTTATTGAGCTGGCTTCTCATTTAACCACACTAAATTTATGCTGATTTTGGTGCTAGATCAATAAGTTCTCTCTCCGAGCTGTTCAGGACTGTGAAAAAGTCTCACTACTTTCCATACAGGATTGTTACATGAAAAGTCAACAGGTACTTTACTCATGTATCATCGATAGTGTACATTAATCTACGTATATCTTACTAACCAGATCACTGGTAACAAAGGGAGAAAGATCTACTTTAAATTCCGTGAATATGTTCAGAAAAATCTGGGCTAAATGCAAATGAAAGCATTCAACAGTATGGCCTCTAGGCATTGCATTTATATAAAACATCTGAGACTTTTTTTTCAAGGTGATTGACAAACAATAAAGTTGCGACCTTTTCGAATGTTTTTAAACTATAAAATGCTTCAAACGTGATTTATTTATTCATGCCTGGATTACATTACTATTTATACAACTAAGTGAAATGTAAAATCGGCCAAACGAATAACAGATTTAGAAACAATTGGAAATCATTTTTAAAAACAAGAAAAATGATGGACTAGTTATCTCTGTTTTTTATAAACACTTGTATTTCATAAGTTTTTCAATCCCAATTTTGCATGAAGTATATAAGTTTGAGCTCTCATTTTACACCTCCATGGAAATGTCCAATTGTTTTTACCATCCATTCACTCATTGGTTGGAGAAAGTATTGGAGGTAGTTGAAAAACAAGTGTCACTTTAATATGTTCTGTGGAAGTAGTAAGTCTCCTTATACTTCTGCTACGGTTATTTCATTATTTGATTTCAGTTTAGTTAGTATAATTATATCTTTGACAAAAACTGTCTGTTCTGTCTGCAATTAAATCAATCCACGTGAAAGTTAATTAAAATTACCAAGTGATTTTCCCAGACGGTGGACCAGAACTTGGATATACAGTTCGGCGTTAATAGCAAAGTAAAAACAAATAGTAAGATGATGAAAAAATAATGTGCCCGTTTGGGAAGCCTATGAAAGACTGGTTTATGTTCAAATTTAAGATCAATCGGTTTTAATCCATCAATAAAAGCTTCGATATTTTGATTTGACACATTTCTCATCTGTAATCAAAACATGAACCAATTTGACGCTTTCCATTAGTCCCTGAAAAATTCCCATCATATTAAAACACAATTCATAAAGGGAACTAACTGAGTAAAAATATTCTTTTCAATAACTGTAGAACCTGATGAGAAATTATTGAAAAAAATATTCTTCGTTCATATAATTCTGCTTTCCATTAGTACAACACTTGCTATTTATACTTAGAATTTAGTTTGAAAAGGATGAACTAATCGATCACATTTTTCTATGTGCTTTTTATGGTGCATAATGATGAATACTTTAAAGGACCGATCTAGATCAATCAATTATGGAATTTTCAGTTAGACAAATTTTCTAGCTAGATACCTTTAAACAAAACAATAGGGTTATTCAATCTTTGTTTTCAAATATCCTTGGTACAAAAAGTATCAATAAATAAGTAGGTTTTTTCAAACTGTAAACGTAGTATAAACGTAGGATTGTAGTACATGATAAGAATAATCTTGTTAGCATAACTTCATATCAACTTATGTTCACTTAGTCTACAGATCAGTAAGTGTAAACAATATCAGCCACTAGGATCATTGACAATTGAAATCTCTGGCAAGAAAATAGTTTGTTCATTAGGTTCAGATAAATCAAGTCTATGAGTGGTAAGTAACATTAAAGAATGTAGACTATTACACCTCTTTAATACTAATCTATTTAACATGGATTAAAATGTATAACAAATTAATGATGTTAGTTGAATGACTGGTAGCTAAAACTTAGGTCAGTATTTATATTTAGAAAGCATAACGGTAATTTTCCTCTCACGGTTAAATAATTCTAATTTTCAAATCATTAATTTACAAAAGAAATCTGTAAACTGTTTACTGTATTTGTTCACTTTGTCAATAGTTATATTCTAACCAACAGATTGAAAGGATCATTATTTCCTTCGTAACTTTTATTTCCCTCCTCAGAAAACTATACGTTGTTAGGTTATATTATTTCATCTAAACTATTCGTGTATAAACAACAGGATAGATATAATAAAATTAGCTGACTAATCTGTTTCCTTTAAACTAACTGGTCTAAATTTAGTGAATGATCTCGTGAGCGATTTGTGGGTTCATCTGCTTCATCCATTCCAGTAATTTTCGTAGTCCATAAACCCATTGCATGAAATTTTTTAATAACGAATACTTTTAAAAAACTAAAATCCTAGCTATCAATTCTCATCTATTTGTAAGATAGACTAATCACCTAAAGTCATCTGAAAATAATCGTTCTTATTCTCAGACTCGAATAATATCAAAATCATTCCAAAAGAACTCAAGGCACCTGTATATCACCAACTTATAACAAATCGATTCACCAATACAATTTCTTCTTTATTCGTCTTTCGGTAAGTCTGTAGTTTTTATCAAATATCAAACATGATTAGTTTCGTTTTGACCTCTGACCTAATGTGATCATTCGATGTTAGTACATAGTGCAATGCAGTGACTAATTTTAAGCGTTCAATGGACAAAACATGAAAGTTTCCCCTACTTAATTTTCTCCTACAGCTTGATCATCATTTCCAACGTATAGTCGAGTTAGTGGTTATGATAATAACAATCTTAACTACGTTGTTATGCTTACTCACTTGTTTAGTTACCTGTACCAAAACAAAATAGCACATCAACCTTTAAATTTCTATTCATCCAATCAGATTACAGCAAAGAACTTGATCCACTTAGGATTCTATCCGTTTGGTCATATTGACAAATTTTATAACAAGGAAAATAGCTAAACACGATTGGTCTATGCTTAAACATGTTACTATATGGTGGTAATAATTATTTCCTGACAGTATAACAACTAAACCAGCCTAAATACTGCCTGTAATTATTAAATTTAAACTATACACGTACGCTTATATTCTACATTTCAGAACTGTTGCGAAAGAGATATAAAGATATATTACTAATTTTAATTTATATAGCGGTTGGAATTTTCGAAATAAAAGCTAGTTATTTGAACTGTGTAGTCATCTATACATTCGGGTAAAAATTGAACATGTCAGATACATTATATAAAACAACTGGAATACTATTTTCTACGGTGATTTTACTGTCCTTCAAAAATAGTAAGTTAAAGTATGGTTTCTTCTTTATTCCCAATGGTTTTAAATATTCATGACAGTGAATATTGATGCTTTAGATGAATATCGGTTTTGCATTAAGTTTATTTTATAATAAGGTTTTCTATTTTAGGCTTCTGATTTTATTATCCTGCTATTGTAAGCTAAAAATATTGTGCGATCTAGCAGTGAAGTGAATACTACTGAACACGAACATTTAAATTCTGTTTTATAATGATTATAATTTCATAGTTTATCTTTTCAAGGAAATAGCCAGCATATACAAAGTACCATTTATATAATTATTCATATAATAATAGGTTTCGGTCAAGCAACAACAACTATCCTAGAGGAGGAATGTTTATTTACTTATTTACTGGATTCTTCTAAATGGCACACAATCTAAAAATAATTACATTTCAACTATAGAAACAAATGTATATCCTTTGTGTAAAATTTACAGAAAAGTCAAAATTAAGACGGGATCTAACTTTGACATAGATTTATAGAAAGACAGTAATTGTGAGAGAATCAAAGGGTCGTTTATACAATCATCTATTTATTAATTAACCATAATAATGTTCTAAAGGAAAAAACCAAGAAGAGCATGGATGAGGGTTTCTACGAATGGGAACTAATGTTGTAGTCTACATAATAACAAGTACACAGGATATTGATTGGCTAAGAACAGATCAAATAGGAAGCAAGAGTGAAAAAAAAATTAATAATGCGAAAAAATGGCCAGGTTAAAGACAAAGTACATCGTTTAAAGCATGTCAATTTAGGATTATCAAATCAAATAGAATAAAATTGTTAATATTGATATGACTCATATAGAATGTTAACTTGAATCTGTATATATGTAAAGTGAAAATTTAAGATCTGTGATCAGAATATACATATGGGTCAGATAGGGTGAGAGAGATATGATAGTGCAATTACAATTCGATCAAGTGGAAGACTAAATGTGTGATTATTAATTTGGATATATAATTGTAGAACCTGAAGAGAATTTATCGAAAAGAATATTCTTCGTTCAAATATTAGTCTTTTACTATTTGATATGTTAGCGAATACATTTCGAACAATCTAATCATGCTTGCTAAGAACCCTATCTGGCCCATATTTATTCTGATCGCAGATCTTAAATTTTCACTTTATATATATATATATATATATATATATATATATATAGATAGATAGATAGATAGATAGATAGATAGATAGATAGATAGATTCAAGTTAACATTCCGTATGGGTCATATCAACATTGACAATTTTACTCTATTTAGTTTGACAATCCTAAATTTATATACTGTAAACGATGTACTCTGCTTTTTACTTGGCCATTTTTTCGGATTATTAATTTGGATTATATAATTGTAGAACCTGAAGAGAATTTATCGAAAAGAATATTCATCGTTCAAATATTAGTCTTTTAACATGATGGGAATCTTTAAACAAAGAAAAATTAGTTTGATAATGAAGACATAAATTCCCATCTTATGTCATAAATTAATCAAAAGTGAGGTCACCACCGTGAAGCAAGTTTGACAATGATATCTTTTAGAGTACATAGATTTAGTTCGCTTTTGACAAAGATAGCTCCAGAAGCCGTTAATTTTATGCTTATTTTCGAACCTCACCATCGTGCTAACGAACTACCAAATGATGACCAAACACACTGTCGAAAAAACATTGACCTTTTAGTACATATTTTTATAAAATATGTTGAAAGATGTAAGCAATAACTTTTCCTTCTGTGCGAGGTCTTTTTCAATGCATGTAATTGGGCAAGACTGTTGTTTTTGTTTGACTGAAATTGATAAAACGGAAGAACTTTATGGAATAACACGTTAGACTAAGTGCGTTTCTACTTTGTGGCAAACCGGTTTGTTGGAAACAGAAAATCCTAATTCAGTAAACTTCATTTGAAAACTAACCTCATTTGCACACAGCTTTACAAGACACAAATTTCTGAAATCTTTCGAGATGTAGAATAATAATAACTTTCGAGAATGCATCTCAGCTCACTGAGTGATATTCAACCCCCCCCCAAAAAAAACACACAAGCGAAGTGGAATTATGATTGCTTTTCGTTGTTTTTGAAAAACTCTGGGAGTTAGAACTAGAAATTTGTCAAAAACCTCTTAATGTTTTGGTTTCATTATACGCCTAGAAATTTTAAATCGATCTACACATTATGGACTTGGAAAAATATAATTCACACAGTTTAGGGTGAAAACTTTGCATTCATTAGGTTGTTAATAATAAATTTTTTTAGGTATCAATACCAAGGTTGGACTCGATAGTTTTAAATAAATTAAACATTGGATAAAGAGTTAATAATAAATATATTTTTGTTGTTTCCCAATGAGTATGAAAATTGTATTACTGACGTTTCGTGACTTGATGTAAGTCACTTATTCAGAGTAAATAAATAACATATTGTTCGATTGAAGTACAAGTATCTCCGCTCAGGTTAACTCATAAATCCCAAATTATGTTTTTCTATCTATTCAGATGTTTCGTTGGTAGTCAAATATATTTAACGTGCTTAGAATAAATAAACTATATGATATTATTATATTTTGTGTCGTTAAAGTACAGGGTTTTTGAGTTTAATCTTTATAAATCTGTTTGACTGTAGGAAATGTATTCTATATGCCAATAATTCTTGTACTGTCACTGTTCATTATCTGTTAACTGAAAGTCAACACTTCATTAAGAAGTGTACATTGATTCTAAATGCATCCCATCGAAGACAGGAAATTATTACATAAAATTCCTGCTGCACTACTGCGCTATTCTGAAACTTAGATGCCTTAGTTAGATCCTCTTTTTTATAGAATGACATTTAATTCTCAAATGATTGTCGTTTTTAGCTAAAATACTTTAGTTAACGTTATTCTTTCATCTCTTTCAATAATTACACTTTATATTTAAGTTATATTAAGTTTTAATGAAACACAAATAAATTTCCTAGTTAAAACAACCATAGGTTCAACAAGTAATGGTGACTATGTTAAACCACTAAGTAGCTGCGATTTTACTCACTTTCATCCTTTTTCAAACTTCCTAAGTCGAAATTACAGTATCAGTATCAATTGTTTTTTAGGTAAATATAAATCATCCAATAAGCTGATAGAGGTTTTCGGATGAACCTTTTAACTAGCTAAGCTAAGTCTTAATCACCACTTGGTCACTCTCAGAAGAAGGTTTACCGAAATCCCCTAATTGACTTACACAATGAAATAATAACCAATTAACAATATTTCAACTGTTTCAAATTTATCTGAAGGACTTTTGATCAACTTAGCTATCAACAAGAATTCGTGTAGAAGGCTATCTGTTTAAATAATTTGTTAGTTTATATAAATTATAATTATTAAATTGTCCAATTCTTTTGTATTGTTCAAGACAATGAGATTTAAACATCCTCCTGACGTGATAGCATTTTTATCAATTTAAGTTCCGGTTTTACCAAATCGTCATTTGAATACTTCATCAGTATCTGTTTCCAGTAATAACAATTATGAAGATCCACCATGTACAACTTTATCACGTGTTTTATATATAACTCCAAGAGTTTGAACAAATAATAATCTTGATTTTCTGCATATTTCTCCCTGTCGTCAACAACAACAAGGAATATATCTTGATAATAATACCGTTGAAACTGGTTTGCTATATATCTGAGTATTAACGAAACATCTGAATAGATAGAAAAACATAATTTGGGATTTATGAGTTAACCTGAGCGGAGATACTTGTACTTCAATCGAACAATATGTTATTTATTTACTCTGAATAAGTGACTTACATCAAGTCACGAAACGTCAGTAATACAAATTTTCTACTAATTGGGATATAACAAAAACATATGTGAAGGGGGTTTTGTGAAGATTTTAGGAACTGTTATATAGTTGAAATCAGGAGTCAATTGAAGCTAGACCACAATGAAAAACCTAGAAGTACTGGACGGCTGTTTTGCCCTATTGTGGGACTACTCAACAGTGCCCATCCATGATCCCGCCTCGCGAGATTCGAACCCAGGACCTATCAGTCTCGCGCGCGAGCGCTCAACCATTAGACCACTGAGCCGGCATCCAACGGTGTTAATGTCGAACTTTAACTAATCCACGAAATTGAGCTGATATCTCACAACAGAACTGGTTGGACTCTACTGGTCACTGCCTCTCACTAGAACAATCAATCGCTATAAATAATTATTTGGATTTGTCTTTGTTCGAAGATGCAGATTTCCTATCGTATGTTTCTTCGTTTTTCCTGTTGACCAAATATGTTTTACTTCATTGTGTTCTATTTTACAACATAAATAACATCCGATTAAACTCTTATATTGAAAAAAATAAGAATGAAGCTGAACACATATTAGCAACGTGGAGTATGCAAAAATAGACAAGGAAGCGAAAAAGAAACTATACCATTATTCATTATTATTTTACTGATAACCAGAAGGATACTAAATCAACATCCAGTGTATATCCTTTTGTTCCAGAGTATTTATTAGAACGAAAATGCCTAGGTATCGTTATTATTTTAATTAATGTTGACTTTAAAATCAATCAGATAATTAAACACTATATATTTTCTATCTTTGTATATGTATGTATACGTAATCACTAAAAAATACTTCTCTTAGAAAACGAACACTTAAGGTAAAACTACTACACTTATAGTCTTACCACAGAATTATTACTGTGATTCAATACACAACAGTAGCGTTTATCCTAAGTCGCTTTGAGGAGTAAACGTGCATTCTCTAAGTCTTATAACGACTGCATTAGTGTTTACAACTGTAATTGCAATTATTTCCCAGTATATTTTTGCTTCTATCAATTTGTACTGAAAGCAGTTTCCAATTCAGATAGGTTCCTAGAAATACTAGTTTAAATACTGATGGTAATGCATTCATTTTAGTTGAACTTATTGTGTTACTTCATTCAGTTTATGTTGAACAAACTCATATGTTACTTTTTAAC